ATTTAGAGCAATTTGCTATATCGAAAAACGTGTTTGCTCCGGCAGAGGTTGCCGGGTGCCTCGGCACTGGGCACATTTGAAAATAGAACCGAGTGCTCGAAACTTCTCAAGGCCTCGGCTGAGTACAGGCTAACAGATTTACGTGGTCACAGCCACGGCATCCGGCATCCGGTTGCTCAATGTTTTTATCGTACGCGGGTGCTCGTGTATTGGAAGTCCCGAAAATTGTATGCATTTATGACAAACAATGAGTAGATCAAAACACAAGATAGTGCAAACATTTAAAGAATTTGGGAATACTGTTGCATTACGTTGAACTTGTTCAAAGCATCAAGACACGATCTAAACGTCTATGTACAGTCAGCCTAAAAAGTATTCGTACACCGACTTTCAGATTCCTGACAAATTGTCGATATTTAAATTACTATATGGTAAAGGAACCTATTACTGCGGGTGCACCTATTACTGCGTAATTGTTTTCTGTTTTGATTAAAATGCGTAGAAATTAATTTCTTGACTTGAAAAAAGTTGATATTGTACGGAGTTGATTGCATTATGCTATTATGATGTAATGACAGAAATATGCAATCCCATTAAAAAAAACATCGATGATCTTGAAATCTCGAGAAGTATAACCTTTAAGTAAAAACTATTTTCACAGCAATATGTGTCTTTTCGAGTTGATTTGCGGAGAAGGATTTTTCAAAGTGTTAAAAATATTTTTCTCAAAGAACTAGATTACGCATCAAAAAACTAAAATAATGATAAAATTGAACGATATATCCTGATCTTTTGTTATGTACACAACCAAACTATATGCTTGCAACTTCTGGAATAAGATGTGCAGTCTTGATGTCGTCTACATGTCGACGTTCATCCTCAAAGGGTTAACATTAATCGAAGCACCTGTTATTATGTTATGAAACCTTGTTATAAAATACGATTTTGATTAAGGAGCATGTAAAAATATTTTTGTAGATTTCATTTGATACATCGACGACCATTTAATATGACTTGTTTCGTGTCAACAATATTGTTTCAATGTAAATAGTTCGATGTTTATGCAGATCGAATGTATTTCATGCTGATACTTCGAAGCCGCAATTATTTGCACATCAATTTAATAGAACGCCTTTCAACGCATATAGATTAGTATTTATTGGTGGACAACTGCGACCTCTTTACAAGCACTTCGCATTTCAATTTAAGGGTATGCTCGCAATAAATCACACAGAAGTACGATACTTTGGAAGAAGTACGATACAAGAACGCGTATAACAAATAGGGCAACTGTATCAATTACTGTGCTCATTAAAGTGACGTTCACAGTTTTCAACGAAATTAAATAGCTTTTTTCTGCATATTTCGCACTAGTTAAAACATTTCAATTATACATTGATGTCTTTTGTACAGGGTGATTCACTGAAGCTACTACAAAGCAACATCTCCGATATCGTTAACGATACTCAAAAATGCTAAAGAGACAGATTGTATGGTTCAAAGAGACGCACGTTGCAGTGAAAATAATTTCTTTTCGATGGTCATATTTTTCGAGATTTCAAGGTCATCGATGTAATTTTAAATGGGTTTACATGTTTCTATTATTGCATCAGGATAGCTAAGATCAAGATGAATCCAATGACCTACAGTAACATGATGTTCATGGTAATTATTTCAGCATTCCTGTTTATTTCAAAATGTTTTAAGTTTAATTTATTCGTTTTCAAGGTCACGTGAAGATTATGCTATTAAAGGTCATTGAATTTATTTTGATTTTAGCTATTATGATGTAATGACAGAAATATGCAATCCCATTAAAAAAAAAAAAACATCGATGATCTTGAAACCTCGAGAAATATAACCTTTAAGTAAAAACTATTTCCACAGCAATATGTGTATTTTCGAACCTTACGATATATTCCTCTAGCATTTTTGAGCATCATTAATAGTAACGGAGATATTGCTTTGTGCTTAATTGCTGAACTTTATAATAAAATTATTGGATTAGAAACAACAAGAATGCGAATAATTTCGTGTTAAGTATCTTCAAAAATATGTTTCGAAAAATATGTGAATAAAGTTGAGAGTCGTCATAATTATCGTCGTAGTAAAAAATTAGAAGAGAGTTTAAAGGAATTTAAAACTGTCAACGTCTTACCTCTAATCTATTAAAGTGATTAAAGAAAAAACGAACTTCACTATTTAATTCCTGTTTCTTGCAACTGATGGAGGCAATTTTGCACAGCAATAATGCACAGTCTGTTGATAACAGAAGAATAAAATTTTGTTTCGATTTCGAAGAAACGGATGACATTCGTGTTTTCTACATTATGTGTGAAATCTTCATCAAGTGTCTGACCGGTTTTTCTAGTGGAAGAGGTTGATAGTTACGTTTGTATAAATTTAGACGGAGATTATCTTCCGCCAACTTCATTAACTTCGAAAAATACACGGGCAAAACATGTTTATTGATCATGCGAATGACGAAAGTATTGATCGATAATTAATTTTAATGCGAGCGTAGTTGTGTCGTGTCGTGGTCTCCCAGCGTTGCGTCACAGTCACGAATGAGGTAAATAAAGTGTACCGGGTGACCCACTTTAAAGTTCGAAGAAATATTATACACGAATCGATGGCAAGTAAGAAATACCGTGTGGGAAGCATTATTTTGAATCGCGTACGCGTTGTTTTCAAATATTACGAAACGAAGAATGGACGCAGCTATCGCGGCTTGGGCAAGCCTTTTTTGGGACACCTTGTATATAACATGTACAAACAGCAAGGACTTTCGCTTTCGAAAGCTGTGCCACTTATCGATTGACTTTCTTCTCTTCCGCCATCGTTCATTTTCTATCCAGTTCTGTCGCAGACTATACTCGCGGATGTTTACTGTATTTCACTTTTATACCGTCTCTCGCCTTACGACACTCTTTACTTTTCCTTTTTTCTAGAGAGAACTACTTTCGTTTAATTTGAAGTTCATTACGATACGTGAACTTTCTTCTTACAAATCCTTAAAACGTGCGAAGACAGTCGGGCCTGCTCGTATCGGGCAACACAGTTTCGACCGTTTCATTGTTACAAATTACACGGAAATTGTTCACTTTTATTGCATTGTTCGCGTGAAGGAAATTCATTTTTATTAAAATTTATGTTTAATATGTTAATGTCAAATTTGACCAACGATAACTTCGCTGAAAATCATCGTAGGATGATGACCTTTTTTCCAAATTAAAGCTTGAATCCTCTACTTTAAGACATCGTGTGTCGGGGTTTTAAGTTTGACGTACCCTCACCACTGTATCCCTTTAAATGCGAGGCCGTGTTTGTCATATCAAAAATTGCCAAGTTTGACGAAATGCACGAACTTTGTAGTAAATCTTGCATTTTTTTCATGTACCTCAGGCATTGGCATTATCGGATGTGTATAACAGGAAAGATGTCGGTAGGATCTTGCACATTGTATATATTTACGTGTATGTATGTTTGTAAGTGTGTAATTTCAGTAGCGTGTGTTTCCTTCGCATTGCTCTACTGCTGCTTGTAGCCAGAAATGCAAGGGTTATTTCAAAGTGCTGCAACTTTGCGAAAAAAAATCGCAGCCCTGCATCTTTTCTTCCAATTAAAGGGGAAGGTGAAATTAAATTTCACTGTAAACTTGACAATTTATATATAATAAAAATTAAAAGTAAAAACTCATGAAATTAAAGTATTTTATTCAGTGAAATATACACATAAACATTACATAGCATGTGACATACATTACTTTTCAAACATTCTTACCTCTTGTGAATTTTAATAAAATTAAGAAATTACAGTGGACTATAGCAAAGAAATTAATTTTCGAAAATTAAATTTTAAATAACTCTGTCACCCAGATGTGGGTGCTGTGGCGGTCAAAGTATTAATAGTGTAATTATAATACACTTTTTAGTAGTGCAATTATGATATACCTTATTAATAATATAAACAAGATAAATTTGGTTAACCATATAATTGATGCATTCTTCAAAAAATTACACTAAATAGATTTTTAAGTGTTAAAGTAAAAGGTGACGTATACAACAATAATAACAACATATTTAATACAATAAATTGAATATTTTTCCTTTGTGTGATGATTATTAAAGCATCACATACATGTTGTGCGAGCGGCCATTAAGATGTTAATGTACACCGACATACTGGTCGCTGTCCTTTTTCATCGACTGCCCTGAGTTTCTCTCTCTTTCATTCTCTCTGTCCGCTGTCGGCAACCAGAAGAACGAAGGGGAATGAGGCTAGGGGAATCATCAATCTGTGCCTTCGCACGTTGTGAGAGGAACATGAGCAGCGTCTCGATTTTGGTTATCTGCTTGCCCTTGAGCGTGCCGGCGAAGGCTGTCCTCGTCTCCTGATTGAGTTTGGGCAGCAGAATAGGGAGAAGAAGAGCGTCCCAATTCTGGACTGGAACGTTGAGAGCAGTGAGGGACCGAAGATGATGCTGGATGTGATTTACGAAAACTCGTAAATTGCTTGCAGTTTCCTTGGTTACGGGAGCCGTTTCTAGAAGAAGCTCCACATGCCGTTCGACGGTGAGTCTCTTATGGGTATACGTATCTTCAAGCATTTGCCAAGCTTTATGGTAGTTGGCATTGGTCATTGCCAGTGCATTGATGGCATTGGCTGGCTCACCGGATAATGCCGTGCAAAGTAATTTGAATTTTTGCACGTCAGAGAGTCCATCGTGGTTGTCGATTACCGATAAGAATTTATGTTTGAAAGACAGCCAATCCTCGAATTTGCCGTCAAAACGAAGAAATTTCTCAAAATGAACAATGTCTCTATTGTTCGAATCGGTGCTCTTGAATTTCGACCGCAGCACCTCTGCTGCGGTGACTACTCGTATGTAATGCTTCTCCAAGGCGGAGCGTACTATCTCTACGTTTATGCCTTCTTGAAGAACCTCCAATTCTGCTTGGATGTCGTCGCAGCCANTAATAAAAATTAAAAGTAAAAACTCATGAAATTAAAGTATTTTATTCAGTGAAATATACACATAAACATTACATAGCATGTGACATACATTACTTTTCAAACATTCTTACCTCTTGTGAATTTTAATAAAATTAAGAAATTACAGTGGACTATAGCAAAGAAATTAATTTTCGAAAATTAAATTTTAAATAACTCTGTCACCCAGATGTGGGTGCTGTGGCGGTCAAAGTATTAATAGTGTAATTATAATACACTTTTTAGTAGTGCAATTATGATATACCTTATTAATAATATAAACAAGATAAATTTGGTTAACCATATAATTGATGCATTCTTCAAAAAATTACACTAAATAGATTTTTAAGTGTTAAAGTAAAAGGTGACGTATACAACAATAATAACAACATATTTAATACAATAAATTGAATATTTTTCCTTTGTGTGATGATTATTAAAGCATCACATACATGTTGTGCGAGCGGCCATTAAGATGTTAATGTACACCGACATACTGGTCGCTGTCCTTTTTCATCGACTGCCCTGAGTTTCTCTCTCTTTCATTCTCTCTGTCCGCTGTCGGCAACCAGAAGAACGAAGGGGAATGAGGCTAGGGGAATCATCAATCTGTGCCTTCGCACGTTGTGAGAGGAACATGAGCAGCGTCTCGATTTTGGTTATCTGCTTGCCCTTGAGCGTGCCGGCGAAGGCTGTCCTCGTCTCCTGATTGAGTTTGGGCAGCAGAATAGGGAGAAGAAGAGCGTCCCAATTCTGGACTGGAACGTTGAGAGCAGTGAGGGACCGAAGATGATGCTGGATGTGATTTACGAAAACTCGTAAATTGCTTGCAGTTTCCTTGGTTACGGGAGCCGTTTCTAGAAGAAGCTCCACATGCCGTTCGACGGTGAGTCTCTTATGGGTATACGTATCTTCAAGCATTTGCCAAGCTTTATGGTAGTTGGCATTGGTCATTGCCAGTGCATTGATGGCATTGGCTGGCTCACCGGATAATGCCGTGCAAAGTAATTTGAATTTTTGCACGTCAGAGAGTCCATCGTGGTTGTCGATTACCGATAAGAATTTATGTTTGAAAGACAGCCAATCCTCGAATTTGCCGTCAAAACGAAGAAATTTCTCAAAATGAACAATGTCTCTATTGTTCGAATCGGTGCTCTTGAATTTCGACCGCAGCACCTCTGCTGCGGTGACTACTCGTATGTAATGCTTCTCCAAGGCGGAGCGTACTATCTCTACGTTTATGCCTTCTTGAAGAACCTCCAATTCTGCTTGGATGTCGTCGCAGCCAGCGTAAACGTCCTTCAGCCGTTGAAGCCTGCAGGTTAATTCAGTTGCGTTTGGATCATCCTGGAATGTTCGCAGGTACTCCTCGAAGTCAGTCAGCTGGTTGCTGATCCCAGCTATCTTCTTGCAGAGAATTTTGACGCGTTGCGTGTCCTCCGCGGCCATGATGAGTTTCGACAACGAATCACTGATAAAAGCCGTCATCTGGCTTGAAGAACTACAAAGTGCCAGCAAATGACACCAAAATACCAGGATCTTGAAAAATCTCTCGGGTCTGGAGACTGAGTTTGAGGTACTGTGGCAAGACTAAACTCGATGGCTTAACGTTCGTGGACTAGTCCATAACGATCTCGAAAGGAATGGTTTGATTTTATCGCTAGCGATGATTCATCGATTGATAATATAATCAACGTTGCTATTGTTGCTATCGACTTCAGCGAAGTGGATTTTTAAATTTGAATTGTAGAGTCTTTAAAAGCGTCGAGCAGTCGTCGATGTATTGTGTGTAACGTGTCGAGGTACACCTGTTAATATTACTTTTCGATGGATCAAATCGACATCGCTTTTTTTATATCAACGAATAATTCAATGGAAATGGAAGCGCAGTATTTCTCGTTCGTCTCGAGATGATAGCTTGATTACGTCTTTTAGTGACGCAATGAGCAGTTGCGCTATTAAAGCGACCAATTAGAATGAAGACATGCTACAATTTTGTTGCAATGAGTCGCCTAAGTTCTGCTTTCAGCACGAAATGCTGCAAGCAGTAGAAAGTACTCTTGTAGAAAGTTTTAGTAGTAGAACTAAGTAGTACTACTAACGAAGTAGTCAAAATTGATGCAATAATGGAACGCTTTATAACCTGTAAGCTATCTTGTGCAATTAAAATCGAAGATTTTTATAATATCGTACTTTCTAAGGTTTATAGCCCGTAGCGTAAGCGTTATAGAAGCAAGTGATAATTATTTTATCAGTATAATATGAATCATTGTCAGTTATCCGTATCAAGCTTTGTCATAAAGCAGTATTTATAAAATTGTACCGTTCTAAAAACAGCAATTGTTATACCTTGTGCAAGTAATAATGAAGATTTTTGTACTAACGAACTGTCTAAGCTTTTTTTATGTGTAGAGTTTGCTGAATTCTTATCGAAACAAGTGACAAGGATCTTATTAAACAAACTTGGGTTCGAAGAAAGCTCCGGTGTCTCGTAACTTTTAACATAAATCGACGATGTCTCATCGCTGTAACCTTTCCTTAAACTATCAAACTATTGAAACAGCATAGGTGAAATAGTGATAAATTAGAAGAAACTAAAAAATGTTGACATGATAATTACAACTTATTAAACTTATTCATGAGAGAAACAAAATCGCACGGACAATCTTTATTTTGCATAAAGTTCCGCAGTCTGAACATTATACGTCGCAGTTTCTATAGAATTGGTACATACTTTTGAGCGGCAGTGTACACATGTCGAGCGTCTTATTCGCGTTTGTCCAGCACCGAGTCTGTTCGCATCGTTCGGTTCCATAAAATCATTGAATTATCAGCGGATCGCCGTTTCCAGGTCTCGGGAAGCTTGCTAGATAAAGCGATCGTTAATTGCAGGTAGCACAGATGAACAAAGAAGCGAATCGACGAGAGAAAAAAGGGCCGACGTATTCTCGAAGTCGCAGCCGTAAACGTGAATCTCATGGTGATTTCATTTTCTTAATTACGTACTCCATGCACGAGCGCGGTTCTTGCCGGCCCACGGTTTGCCCGTTTCCCTCACGTTGTTCGCCAGCGTTTTCCACGTTGCTCGGCTCCGTTGTTTCGTGACGGAGTCACCAAGACATCTCTGCCTCCACGCGAACCCTCTTTCGCAGAGAAAACGCTCGCCTGCAGATAAATCATGGATGGCGTGGCCGACTCGTAATAATGAAATGTTATAGAGAGCCAGCGGGAAATGGTAGACGAGTTGAAGAAGCAAGAAGAAAGGATAAAATATAGCCGAACGTCTACCATTTAGGCTCCGCACACGACCTCGGCTACCAACGAATCTTCCGTACAACAACGTCCCGCCTGGGTTTTCGACGTTGCAGATAGATTACGCCGGTAATTCCCCTTCATTTTCAATGACTTTTCGAGTTCACGCGCGGTTACAACCACGAAATTACTGTATTTTCGAGTTTAAGGTATACCGACCGGCCGAGATTTATCGTTGTTGTTTCAATGGCGAGTGTTTGCTTCGGGGTAAGTTCGACGAGTTTCGTTAAGGGTGGAGCCTGGTTTCGAACACCTGCAAATAACGCGATTTTTGCGATTTGGTTTAGAAGCTGTAAAACTGTTTTATGTACTAATAATTATAAATGAGCTGTTTATACGATGAACCGATTAACTCCACCTTTTCTTAATGGTGGGCTTAACATTGCGAAGGAATTCGTGAAATGCGATTTATTTACAAAGGAGAAAAGACAGAAAAAAGAAAAGAAGACAGAAAGAAAAAAGAAAACAGATAAAAAAGAAGGAGGATAAAAGAAGAGAGAAAAAAGAAGGAAGAGAAAAAAGAAAGAGAAAAGAAGGAAGAGAAAAAAGAGAGAGAAAAAAAGAGTGTAGAAAACACAGAGAAAAGAAAAGAGAGAAATGAAGAGAGATAAAAGACAAGAAAGAAAAGAAGGGAGAAAAAAGAACAAAAGAAAAGAAGGGATAAAGAAGAGAAAAAAGAAGAATAACGTAATATGTGGTATATTCCACGACAAAAAGATAACACATCTCAAAAATTCAATGTTTTCATCATTTAGAGATATAATAAATGTTTTTTAAATTATATTGAAAACATATTGAAAATATAAAGAATTTATTATTATAATTAAACATAAAATAATGTTACATTAGATTTATTTATACAAAATAACCAAAGAGGATAAACAACTGCGATTTAAAGTATTGTAGTAGAAAACGTAAATGAAAAGTAACAATGTCTGTATTTCTTTCTTATAGACGATTGTTTTGCAAGGTCGGACATGTACAGATTAATGTGCGTAGCCGTATGTGTGTGCTAGTATGTAAATAAGATATATATCAAAACACGTCATATAAGCTGTCAGCATCAACAGATTAGCAGAACTGCATAAAAAGAAATCACAACGCTATCTTGAAAACAACTATGATCTATGCTTTAAAAACTCATGCATGTCAAAACATTATGCACAGATGTTTCGTAAGCCAACGCGACAATAGATAAATTCGAAGAATTCAATTTTTATTGATTTTGACATTTGCCCAGGATTTCAACATTTTTCGACGTAGTGATGTTAACGACGGTCATATCAAGGTTAAATTAAATATTTTTGTATTTGTGGCAGAAACGCTCTACGAAATAAAAATTTATTCTATCGCTTGGTATAAATACATTTCCACTAATAATTTTAATTTTTCTTAATTCACCACCATATTAACGCTGTGCATTCTTGCAGTAAAAAAACTCAAAGAACTCAAAAGAATTCAAATGTTTCAAACTCGAATTAGATTGATCGTTTATTTTTTTTTTATTATCTTGTTCTAAATAGAAGAGTCCCATTTATGGTAGTGCTTCCCTAACAATTTTTATTTGTACCCTAGAATCACACCACTCGAGGGTAAAAGATGAATCCTCGGCATGCGGTTGTCGGGTCTGTTGTGACCCGATATATTTAAATCGTCTCCTGAATAGTCAACTTTCGGTAATTTAATGAAATAAATGACTTTTACACTGGTGACGACAGGAAGTTTAATAAGTCTGCGTAAAATATCTTGAAAAATACGTTTGGAAAAATTGTCAAATAAAGCACAGAATTGTTATAAACATTGTCGATTATACAGTCGTGAAAATGGCAACAACAACTGTGGATTAAGCAAGCTGATATCGTTTTCACGACAGATGCATGATAAATAGAAAGCCTGTCATTGAATTTCGTAAGCATCGAACTTTTCTGTTGCACGTTGCATATGCGCGAGATCAGCAGATCTTCATAGTGATTTCATTCGGGTAAATAAGATTTTCCTTATGTAAGTGAAAAACTGTGCTCGACTCAGCCGAAAGCCAATGTTCTAATTATAAGAACGAGACTCATAGCAAATTTTTAATCATGTTATTATTGTCTAAGGGGAATTATATACAAGATCTAAATGTATCATTGTGGTGTAGAGAATCAAACATGACCTCAGCTGCTAATGCTATGATTAATGCAGTTTATCGAATTCTAAGATGTTTTGCACTCAATTAAAAATATATTGAGTACAAAAGAAGTTATGTTTTTATTAGGTAATAATATGCTTCAAGTAATGTAATGTAATTTTTATCTTTTTTAGCACTCG